CATGGGTGGGTCTAATGTAGAGATTCTTACTTAATTGGCACTGGGTACCACTTGGGCATAGGGCTTTGTAGAAGCTGCCAGGTAATTTTGATATCCAGCAGTATTTGAAATCCCTGATCTAAGAAGCCTGTCCAGCTCCTAAGCTCTATAGGCCTGTGAACTTGTCAAGCAAATCGCAAATAGGTTATTAGTTCAAACACTTACGGTGCCAAGTAGGCAGCGTGCCGGGGCGACCCCAGCAGCTGTGTGCAGTGCCAGAGGAGCAGGTGAACTCTGCTCGGAGTTGGCCAGCGCTTAGCTCCTTCAGAGCTGTCCTTAGCAGGAATTCAGGGATGTCAAATAAATCTGATTTTCCTGAAGTTAAAAGCCCAGATTTTGATATAAATTGTTACTGTTTTTTGTAGTGTTGATCACAGACTCAATTTTCTTTCTTTTTAAGAAACTTATGTTACACACGCTGGAGAGAGTCCATGGGACTGTAGTTTGAGGTCTCTGCCAGAGAGAAAATAGAGACAGGAAGGTCTGGACAGAATTCAGGACTCATGCCCAAAGCCCGGACAAGCAATTCCAAAGTGGGGATTCTTCTCAAAAGAGGGAAGGAGGGCTTCAGAGAGGGTGGGCTGGGCTCTCCCTGCCCTGTGATCTGAAGGAATTAGGATATGGCTGTTCTTCCTCTTTCACAGCAGAAACACACACTTTAATGCATATCATGGTGCAGAAAGGCATGACAGGGTCCTGGAAAACACAGCTCTCCAAAGAATGTTTTAAAAAGAGTATGGAAAAAGTACAGGATGGCACGAAAAACTAGGGCTGAGGAGGGCGATAGAGAACAGGGGGAAGCCGGTAATGGAAGCACGGTGTTTGGCTGTCATCTATAGGAGAGAAGAATGTCCTGCCTTCAGTAATGGAGCCCTTGCCTCACATGCACAAAGTCTTGGCTTCCATCCTGTATACTGCAAAGAAGGAGAAGGAGAAAAAAGAAGAGTGAAAGAAAGGTAGATGAAAGGAAGAAAGGGAGGCAGGGAGGGAATGTCTTGAAGCAATGGGGATCTAAATAAAGCAAAGACTACTACTGGGAGAAGACTTCCGAAGTCTTACATTTCTGATGGTCCAGTGAGTCCCCTTTACATTTTGTAAGAGATATCTGGCTGTAATTGGCACAGTTATCTGTTCTTTCCCACTAATCAAAATCCCAACCAACCTAGAACTGGGCCTTTAAAATCTACTGGAGCAAAACAAACAAACAAACACACACAAAAAAGAGATGGTGGCTGCATTGAAGATGCAATAAGGACATCAAGTGTTAAGAGAAAAGAAAATGTCCTGTAGAAATCATAGGCCTGATTGCCAAGAAAACAAATACCCTTGGAAAAAGATCTAACCTTATTCCAATGAATAATATTCTAATTTAGTCTAATAAATTCTTTACGTCTCTGTAGTGAGAGTAGAAACTACACATGGGCAAGTCAAATCAACACATGCATTAATAATTTAGGACTTCCAAGGATAATGTAGTGTAGGGACTTCTAGAGTCAACATTATGTCTTCTATTTGTGCTTATACCCTACAGTCTACTAATGGGTTAGATACAAACTACAATGTGATAAATATTTACATTATTCTTGAACCAAGTATGAATAACTTAAAAAAAACCCTGCAGCTATATTGACCTAAGGCTGTAGTTTTCTGAGTGTGGTTCCCTACCAACCATATGGGTATCACTTGAGAGTTGTTGGGAATGCAAATTCCTGGGTCTCAGCCTACACCTACTGAATCAGAAGCTCTGAAGGTAGCATCTAGCAATCTGTACATCCTCAGGGTGTCCAGGAAACTATGAGGGAGACTTTATATTATCTCAGTTAATTTTCACAGCACCCAGTTGAGATGGCCAATTTAGGATTTACAATCCTTATTTTAGGTAAGGAACAGGTCAAGTTGTTTGTTCAAGGTCAGATTGCTGATAACAAAATGAAGACACTAGGCTTGGAAAAAAGAATACATCTTGATCTTGAGGGATAAACTTAAATTTTTCTAGTAGTAGTTGAAAAAAATGTAAATATCTATCTATCTATCTATCTATCTATCTATCTATCTATCTATCTATCTATCTATCCCCTACCTTAACAACTGTACCAGTCCATTAGAAGGCGCTCAAGCAATAATAGCAATACTTCATCCAGTTGTACACTTTACTTCTGTATCTGTGACTTCCATTCCTACCCTGCCTTAAAAAATTCGTTTTCATTTTGTGAAGCCATCAATGGCTGCCTCTACTGTGAAGTCTTTCCCCTCTTGCCCCTGGAGAGCTTCAATTACACAGCTCTCTACTTCATCTTTGAGCACAGCTGTGTTTACATGTCTTCTCTCCACAGTGGACTCTTAACTCTTTGGGAGAAATGAACATATTTTGGCATATTTTATACCCCTCACACCTGCCACAGAATAATACTTGAGTGCTGGAAAGGAACAAAGACAATAAACAGCTGCCAAATCCTGCATCATTATTAAGCATCAAGTGTGTCACAGTCCTTGGCCAAGCTTTCTATATATCTCATTTTATTTTAATACTCAGAGCAATCTTGTAAGGTACATATTTTTATCTATTTTAAAGACTGGAAAATTGAGACTCAGAGAGATTAAAGAAATGATCCAATATCATTCAGCTAGTAAATGACAGAGCTGGAATCCTTGATGAGTACTATGATGTCTTTCCACTTTTTATTTAATAGATGGGAAATCAAAACCTAGGCAGAGAATAGAATCTTCTTAGTTCTACAAAGAAGGGTTGAAGTCACATCTAGAACAGAGCCTTGGATCACTTTATAAACCACCCTGTTGTCTCTCACCTAAATAGCAAAGCAGTGGAAGAAAACATGCTGTTGGAATTTCTGGGTGACTTTGAAAGTTGCTCCTATTCTACAAATTATTTGACTGTCAAATCTATTTCCTAGAATTTTTTTGAAGAATGAGAGAGATTTATTTTCTTTCTCTCAAATACCAGAGTTATTATTTTGCCTCCTTTGCCCATTGTTTGGACGTGGTTATCCCGAGCTCGTTAGAACTCACTTTAAGTGAATGCTAATACTTGAAAATTTTTCAGAGCTTTTAATCACCAAAACATCTTACTTGAGAGCTTCGGAAGTTGTATGCTATTTGCTCAGCATATTGCTTTAAAAACACATGGATATCTTAGACATGCAACAATAATATTCTGTTGAGTACATTATGATATATCAAAGAACTCCACACATCCCTTAAGCACTAGTGTGTATGTTTACTTATTGGCATGAAAGACACAATATCACAAGTGAATATTGAAGAGTGAAAAACTGTACATTCATCATAGCCCAGTCTTATAAAATAATTTTTAAAATCTTGAACACATGAATGGAAAGTTTAAAAGAATATATACCAACACATTAACAGGTTTATCTCAGAATTGTGCAGTGATGGGCACCTTTATTTCCTTTCATAATAAACATGTATGACCGATATATTTTATAAGGATACTGCTTTCAGTAGCAATTATGCACAAGCCTGTACACATAACCAGCCAACAACCAGTCAAACCATTAGTTCTGAAGTTATGGTTTTGTAAAAAAGTTTCTAATAGAAATATTTCTGGATGGAGAAAACTATCATGGTTTTAGTTCCAAATCTGTTTCTATTGCTGCTGTTCCTTTAGTCACAGATATCTTTGGATTTCAGTTCCTTGTGGATAAAATTAGGGATAATGCCATTCATTCTGTAGACTCCAAGTGATGGGTTTCATTTTAGGACTGTGTTTCACTACCAAGATGACTTTTAAAACATGTACTTTTAAAGTATATACTGCTGAATTCCACCTCATGCCATTCCAGCACAAGCCAGAGCTCAGCTAATTGTTAGGGGCCAGCTGTCATGGTGGTGCTCCTTCCTGGACCTACATACAAGCAGATGTGATCTGATGCAGCATGAAGTTCGTTCATTGAAAATCACTGCTCTACAGGTGCAGGGGAAGTATAAATACATCTGCCGTAGACCGAGGTCCTGCCAAGGTTACCAATGTGGCCCAGACCACTCAAGAAGGGTAAAACATCAAACAAGTGATATATACTGCATTTTGACTAAAAGTTAAGAAAAAAGAGGGTTTTCTTTATCAAAGAACAATGACACAGTAAAATGAGGTACCAGCATGTCAAAAAAATCCAGGAAGCTTGTATATTAAAGGCGTTTTAGTGACATTTATGTCAGACCTCCACCCTATACAGTCATCTTCCATGCAATGTGGCTCTCTCCTGCCCCTGGCCACTGCTGCATCAGTGTCTGAGGCCAAGGGCTCACTACTTCACTCCGTGGCACTCACTCCTTAGTGCCAAGTATGACAATATCCTTCTAGCTCTTCCCCCTGTTCGTCACAGTTCTGAGCTCCGCCATGTGGATCCATGGTAAATCCCCAGGTCTTCAGTTTGTGGCACTGAACTGCGCTACAAGTATCTCATCATTCATCATGGAGACACCAAAGTTTTAACCATGATATTGTTTATAAATCAGTGAAGATGTTAGCTTACTCCTCTCTGATTTATTTTCTGATTTGCATTTATAAATGGGAAAAGGGTTGAGTCAGAACGCTCAGGAAGGGAGTAAGAAGTTGTTTCTTCTGTCATAGGAGCGAGGAAGGGTAAAAGGCTGCTGATTACCATAGCTGGGTAGTACTTTTACATACTTAGTCAGCTGTCATGCTCATCATTAGCTAATAATGTACTCACTAAGTGCCCACTGAGCCAGGGTATCAGACTCGATGGATAAAAGGGAGAGAAGAATGAGGCATGATTATGAAATCATGGAGAAGCAGCCTAGATAGTCGTGTGCTTTTTTATTGGTACATGTTTGTAGTACATAATGTTTGGCTATGTGCCTTTTGATGTTTAAAAGAGAAAATAATCTCCCAAAATACTCATGCATTGATTCCATTATTCAAAAATGTATCAGACACAAGTAAATTCTAGGGGTAATATGATAAAAACAAAACAAACAAACAAGAGTATTACCTTCATGGAGGTAATTTCCTGTTCTCTATCTCTATTTACAGATTTTGATGATTTGGCTCCCTGATCTTCAACCACAATAAAAATTTAAAGATCCTACAGGGCACTGATTCAAGCACTGATTATTCACAGCAACATATAATAGACTTTCCTCACCCATAGCTTCATTTTCTATGGTTTTACCCATCAGTGTTCAACCGTGGTCTGAAAATATGAAATGGGAAATGACGGAAGTGAACAATTTATGAGTTTGAGATTACACAGCATTCTGAGTGATGTGATGAAATCTCATGTCATGCCATCCTGCTCTACCTGCCTGGGACATGAATCATCCCTTTGTCCAGCATCTCCATGCCATGTACTTGACCCCTGTGAGTCACTAGCCTTCTGGATAATCAGATGGACTGTGGAGGACCTGCTCATGATGCTTGTGCGCAGGTGTCCCTTACATAGTAACCTAATGCTTCATCACAGTGCCTCGTCATTCACCTCACTGCATCTCATCACGCAGGCACTGTGACACCTAACATTGTCACCACAGGAAAGGTAAGGTACAGTGAAGTACTTAGAGAGAGAGAGAGAGAGCACATGTTCATTAACTTTTATTAGAGTATATTGCCATAGTCATTCCATTTTATTGTTACTAATTTCTTTTGTGCCTAATTTAGAAATTAAACTTTATCATAGGTCTGTATGTACAGGCAAAAACATACCTATATAGGGTTTGGTGTCAACTATGGTAATGGGGACCACTGTGTCACTAGGAAGGAATGCTACAGCTGTGTGGTAGGACAATGTGGTGATCAGGCATGTTGGCTACCAGGGTTGAGTTTGCAGTGGGCCTCTGGCATTTAATATAAATTGTGCTTCCTTGGGCCAGTTACCAGGCCTGACCCTCAGTCACAGGTGTCAAAGGATTCCCAAGGCTGCTTTCCAAGGCTGGAGTGGAGATTTAGTAAGGTGAAGCATGTGCAGTGCATGGCACAGTGCTTCAGGGCATTTCTACTGCTGTATCCATTACTCTAGCACTGTTATAAGCATAAGTTATCATGATCAACAGTGATCGGTGGATTTCTGCATAGATGAGGTACTTATGAGACAGGTCCGTGCATCTTTTGATAAGTTAGCAAAACCTTTCTTAAAAATATTTTATAAAATGTAAATCACCAAAAGTATGACCCACATTACAATTAGCAATCATATGAGTGCCCTGTGCCACTGCCCATCTCTTCCTAATTAAAAGAAGTCAAACCCTGCTTCCACCTTAGAGAGTCTCTTTCAACATAGGCCAATCATGTCAGCATCCAATGTTGTACAAATTCATCCTCACATGGCGTGGACCATGTTAAATACCTGTAATGTCTGTCATCTTGAATTGCACTTCCCAGGGACACAATAACTGATTGCATTCTTCAGACCACCTAGTGGAAAAAACCTCTTCTATCTTCACTACTTTTCCCAATGAGGAGTCACTCATGAAATTAGACAGACTGGAGCCCACATACACAGAGAGCTCATGCATTTAAACAGATGTCAACAGACTATGGTGTGTGGGCCAAATCTAGCTGCTTTGATTTGTAAATAAAGTTTTATTGGAATATGGACATGCTCAGCCATTTATATCTTGTCAATGGCAGTTTTCACTCTTCAACAGCAGAGTTGAAGAGTTATGACAGAGACATCATTGCCCCCCCCCAAATCTAAAATATTTACTCAAGAAAAAGAGTTTGCCAACTCTGCATACCAAGCTTAGTATGCACTTAACACACATGTTGCTGCAGTGGTGAGTTAACCAAGGATCTGAATATCTGGGAAAAGCTTGATGTTTTCTGTCTCTCCTTGAGCTGATCCCTGAAGCACAGAAGGTTTGAGACTATAGCAGTGTACAAATATTCCTGCGTGCTAGATTGCCACCGTACTTTACAGTTACCCAAACTTCACCCTAATCCCTAAAAGCACCCAGCCTATAATCTGTGTTATTTAATAGCCCAGGCATCGTTCTGCACTGCCCTCACCCTGCAGCCGCTTTCAGTAAATCTTCCCTTTTATTTTTCCTGCAACCTCTGGTGGAACCCAGTTAGACTGAATGATCATAACTGTCATCCTCCCTCTATTTGGAACCTGTCACCATCTCTCAGTGCCTCTCAGGCTGCCTGGACCTGTGGTCTGTTTCTAAGATTCACGCCCTTTTGTAAGGCCTCTTGCCACAGTCCTTGACTTTTCCTGTCCCCATTAAGGTCCACTGGGATAGAGCAAGGATGGATTCAGAGTCTCCTCAGCGTGCAGGATGGCCCCTTAGACAGAAGAGAATCAAGAATGTGTGCACCAAGAGCCACCTTCTGTGTTGCTACAGAAGAAGAAGCAAAAGGTCAGAAACCTCAACAGGCACAGAGGAAGCTCCAGGCAGACTAGGGCGAAGGCTCAGCCCTCGAACTCCCATGCTGGTGCATTCCCCACACACTGTCACCACTCTATTTTCATTCTAAGAAGCAATGCCGAGTTCAGTAATGGTGCTCCCATCTCCTCTCCCACTATCATAGTACAGATTGGCCACCTCTCCTCCAGGTTCCTCTGAGCTTTCCGTGCCCTTTCCATCTAACTAGCTACTGCTTCCTGTCTGCCTTCTCCTGACCTCAGCATCTTCCAGAGACCCTGCCTTAGGTTTATCTAAATGAAATCTCTTCTCATGCGTAGGTTTACCTACTCCTCTAAGTCCTTCAATCTAGTGGATGCTTTCTGTAGTCATTTCCTCATGTGCTCGCAATCCTATGTCATTTGGCATTGTCCATAAAGCTGGGTAATGTACAACAAGCTTCATTTTAGATCAGGATAAATTTGAATAAGCGATCTCATGATAGACCTCTGAGGAGCTGAGCTTCTCTGATTGTTGTGGTGAGAACGCCTGACATCACTTGGTCTTTCATACCTAGGGGAAGGAAGGCCGTCAGCACGGACCACTGAAAGGTGAATGGAGGCTCTGTACACCAAGCTCGCTGGCCGTTACCAAGGGAAGCATGCTTCCAGACGTCTCCTCCAGTACATCATGGCCTGACTGAGACTTCAGGTACAGCGCTAGAGGGAAAAGGGATAGTGCCAGGGAAAAGACTGGGCTTCATCCTGCAGTCTCTATTGGCAGCAGGCCTTGGGGTTCTTGGGTTAGCCCGTTCCCATCATTTTCATTGTTGCTTCTGAATGGTCCCAATTTGACTCTGAAGCACTCCTGTGGAATATGGAACACCTGCACACACTTCCTGGTCAGAGGCCTCCCTGTCCATCTCCTTTACAAAGAGCCCACTCCCAACACAACCACTCATCCCCTCCGTGCTTTATCTTCCCCCTCAATTCTACTTATTGTCTACCTAGTTTCTTTCATCAGACTGGATGTTCCATGGGGCAAGACCTTCACTTTGTGTTACTCTATTCCCAGGGCCCAGAACAGAAAACCAAGTAACTGTTGAATGAACAGAAGAGTCACTATGGAGCTATTGCTGATAATTTTGTTTTCATGCACAGAGAAGACTTGGCAGTGTTCAAGGAGCTTTGAATTATTTTATCTCATTGGATTTTTAGCTAGGGCTATTATCTCTATTTTCAGAAAAGAAATTTCAAGATCTAAAAATAAGTTCCTTCCTTCCTTCCTTCCTTCCTTCCTTCCTTCCTTCCCTCCTTCCCTCCTTCCCTCCTTCCCTCCCTCATCTCTTCCTCTCCCCTTAAGATAACCAGTAATTGGGTTCTTTACATACATGTGCTGATGTCACACAGCCTGCGTCCGATTCTGACTTTGTGTTAATTTTTTAAGTGAAGGACTTGGGCAAATTACATAACTTCTGAAACTTCAGTTTATTTGCCTACAGATGAGGATTACTGGTAGTATTTGGAAGATGTTAAAAGCATGAAAGCAAACATATGTGAGTAGCATAGAGTAAGCTCTTAATATATGTTAGTTGCTGATTCTTATCATTGTTGATTACTACTCAGTCACCACACGACTATCACCACTATAATGTCACCACTGTCCCACTACATTGTCACCATCACTTCACCACAATGACCACCATTAGGTCATCACCAGCAGCACCACCACTAGCACCCATTCACTATGACATCAGCACCACTGCCATGTTACCACCCCAGTATCATCACCCCCCACCATCATAATCATAGCATTCCCACTATCACTTCCCACTACCATATCACACCATTACACCATCATCATCCTCACCATCACTCCGCCAATGGTGTCAGGCATTGCTTAGGCACTGTGCTATTCCAGGTAGTGGCTGTACTATGGTGTATAGCTACCTGTCCCTGCAAAGCCTCACGTGCTTAGAGGCAGGGTTTTTGGATGGTGATTGGATCACAGAGGGTTTATAGCTTACTGGCTGTTAACAGGTAGGGTTTGGTTGGAAGAGCTGAGTCCAGGTGAGTCACTGGGGGTGTGGCCTGGAAGACTGCATCTCCCTGCTCAGCTCCTCCCTTTGTGTGCTGCTTCCTGGCCACCGTGATGGGAGCCGCTTTCCTCCACCAGGCCTCTGTGCCATTCTGTTTCTTTTTGGGAACCTGTCGACTATGGATTGAAACATGAGTCAAGTAAACCTCTCCTCCTTTAAATTGTGGGGGCCCAGGATTGTGTCTCAGAGATGGCAAAGTGACTAAGACAAGGTGCCTGAGCTATGACCCACACATTATGCTAATCGCCTTACATATACTTAATTCTTATGGCAACTCATACAGCTAGAAGATAGGAGAACCATGATTGCAACCCATGTCTGTCTGATTATAACACTGTCGATGTTAATTACCATCCTGAACTCACATGATCTAGTGAGTAAAAAAGTCATCCATGCAGCTATTATGGTGTAGTGTGATAACTGACAAGATCAGGAAGGTGTTATGGAATTAGCCAAGAAGGCCCCTGACCAGACTGGGGGATGGAGGATTGGTTAAGGAGGCTTCTTGGTGAATGCATCAGGAGGTAAACCCTAGAGAATGCGACAGAGTTCACTGAGGCTTCCTAACTAGCAAATGGCAGAGCAAAGTCTGGACTCTGACTGCTGGTTCACTCCGCTGCTCATCTTTTGTAAACTCACAGTCTGGAACATGGAATTCCTCTCTAGTCCTTGATCTTTAGCTGCTCCTAAAGACTCTGCTTTTAACGAAATGATGATTTCATCCTACAGTGAATGAAGACTGCTTTGCTAAGGGCTGCTAGCTGCTGTCAAGGCATTCTCATGGGATGCCACTTACTACAGTGGCAGTAAGTCCATGACCACGGAGTGATGACTCCTTCCTTGAAACTCCTTCAAAAGGAAGGAAGCACCGTGGTCCGGGCCGATTCCACAGCTGCTGGGTAATGCACAGGAAGAGAGCCTTTGGATGTCTCCCAGGATGAATGAGTGGAGATTCTAGGGAAGGCATAAAATTTGGACTTCCAGAGGTTGTATGTCTTGGAATTGGAAAAATGGGGTTATTCTCTGGTTACTCTTCTCTTTGGTTAAAGCTGCTTCCTGAATATCAAGGCTTTGGAGTAGATACTTCAGCTGAACCATAGGGTAGAAAAGGCTCAGGCTCAAGACTTATTTCCCAGGAGAAGGCTCAGGATGACTCAGAAGGATAGAACAGGCTGGGCTGGAGAGAAACAGGTACTAGGGATCACTTCAATCGCCTGACATTGAAGTTACAAGCTTAATGGACACAGGTCTGGGTATCTGCCAAATACTTTAGTGGTGAGATTTTCTTCTCTTACATGAGAACTAGAGCTGTCAGAGGACAACAGTTGTTGTCCTCTTTTTTTTTTTTTTCTTCAAGTTTCCAAACAAGAATTTATTATTTATTTATTTTTCTTTAAAAAGTACCAGGTACAGTTTTTTCCTGCTTTTTGTTTTGTTTTCTTCATGTTTCAGCAAAAGTTTGTTCCCCTCAGCCTAGCCCCAGGAGTCAAAGGCTGAGGCTTGGTAGAGTCTGAAGTGGAGAATGGGGTAGTGGGGACCACATCACGGAGTTTGAGGGGCGCCCCCCAGCCCAGCTGAGGTAGGTGGGTCAGAGTCTGGCCAGGTGAAAGGGGGCGCCCAGTCCTTGGCCCTGTCTCTGCCCCTGGTCGCCTTCCTCGTCAGGATCCCAAAGCAAAGAAACACAGGGAGGAGAAGGGGGATAACTGAGTCTGGAGCCCTAGGTGAAGGGTGGTTAACCCCTGCCTGTGTGCAAACACGCACGTTTTCTCTCACACATAGCACACCAACATGAGCTTGTGCTCATGCGCGTGCATGGATGCATGTGCGCACGCGCGCACACACACACAGGAAGTTGGCTTTCAAAGACGGGTTAGAGGGTAGGGGGAATGGAGGGAATAGGGAGGGATGGGGAAGCTGGGTCTTCGGCAAGTGACTCAGTGCCTCTGGAGTAACTCCTCTGCCCCCAGATGAGTGGCAGCAAATCCCCCCCTGCCCCCACATCAGCCTCTTCAATTCCTGAGGTTGGAGCAATATCTGAGAGTGGGAAAGGAGGGGTGATGCCAATTATCAGAGGCTACCAAGGCAATCCAATTTGAATAAATTATAAATTAAAAATAAATGAAATATAAGTGGTCCCTGGCCCAGGACAGGGAGGCAATGCTGGCATGACTCGCGTGGGAACTTGGGACAATCTCAGGGTAGCTCTGGTGTTTCCCTACTACCTAAGCTGGCCTGGAAAACCCAAGGAACAGGACAGGCACATGGAGAACCCAGATGTAGGGCAGGGTGAGAGAGGATCAGAAGCTTCACACACCCATCAGTTCGGGCATGAGTGTGCCAAGGATTTTCTCAAGCCTTAAGGGGATCTTGTCATCTCTCCGCATGTTTACTCTGTGCAGGATGGGCAGGATGGGCAAGCTGTTGGCCCGCCTAGGTTCAGAACACTGGCAATCAGAGCAAAGGCGAGTAATGTGGATTGGGAGGGGCCTTCGTCACAGCCTGCAGTCCATAGGGGAGACCTGTGTCCAGCTCCAGGCGCCGGCAGGAAAAAAAGCAGGCGGATATCTCCATGCGGGCTTAAGAGGCTTCAGTGGGAGCTCTGAATCTGAGGTGCAGCAAGTAGCAGAAGAGGTGGTGGGTGGGGTTAGCAGTTCCCTCCTCACCCACAGGCACCAAAAAGGGGCGATGGGACAGGAAGGTCATGTGGGCAGCAGGCATGTCCGAGAAGTCAGAGGTCACGAGGGACCTCTTCACCACAGCCTGGTTGGGGTATAGTAAGGTCACTTGGATGGTGCCCACGTTGGGCACACTGTAACCCTTCCTCCCCAGGGAGTTCAGGTCCACAACACCCAGGAAGGGGGCTGTGGCATTTTGCTCAAAATCATCAAAGAAGGTGCCAGCGACAGGCAACGTGACGTGGTGGGGCAGTAGGGCCTCCAGCTCCGGTCTCTGCTGTGAAGAACTCAATGTGGCCAGATGCTTTGAGTACCCCTCCGAAGCTCAGGTCGGAGTTTAATTGCGTGGTGATGGTATGAAGAAGCAAGACCTCTAAGAGGTGACTAGGAAGGCGGGTTCTTTGCTGTTCGCCTTTTCCCTCCTACTTTGCAATGACTCGGCATGAAAGATGCTCTGTCTTCAGAACCAGGAAACAAACGTGTATTGTTTATTATTTACCAAGTCTGTGGTGTTCAGCAGCAGGACACATACTGAGACACAGACACTTAGAAAAGTCAGTACTAATGATAAGCAAGGTGCCACGCGAGGGTTATAGGGGAGAATTTCCAGCTACGCCTGGCTCATGCTGCTCTGCGCTGTAGTACAAATACGTTGATGCTGGTCTCTGAATCTGTAAAAGGAGGCTGGGGATAGCGACCTCATTAGAGTGGAGTAATGAGTGAAATGGTACATACAGAGTCCTAGTGTATTGACCACCATAGAGAAGGTGTTCTTGAACTACTAGGTCCCACAAGGAGCTTCCAGACTCCAGGAAGCGATAGTGAAAGAGGAACCTTGGGAGTGATAATGAAAGAGGACGAGTAGACAAAGTTGAGTGGGAGTTGAAGAGTCAAAGGAAGGAGAAACTCAGCATAAGTGTGGTGTTCAGGACAAACCCTGTGCAGGAGGTGATGCTGCAGCTGGCAATGGAAGGATGGGGAACGCATTTGCTTATGCTAACGTTAGGGGCGAGCTGTTCCGGGCAAAGGAAGAAGGCACATACAAAATGTAGGTAATGGGAAGGCGGAGAGGCAGGTGATAAACTCCTGACAGGATCCCTTCCATTAGGCTTCAGCAGAAGCAGGGCCTGCACAAGGGAATCACAAACCCCCGGTGCCTGCAGGCTCTCAGGACTTACTGCCTTCTGCTATCCGCTCATACTGTTTTTACTTTCTCTTACTAACTCCAGCTACACCACTTTTCACTCAGTTCCTATCTTCCTCCCATCCTTTTCCTACAGAGTCGTATATAGGTCCTTCCTTCTCCCTGGGATATTCTCCACAGTCTTCTTGGGATTGGCTTTTCTCCTTTAGGCCTCTCCTGTGCCCTGGACACAAGGCCCCTCTGACCCCTCTGCTGCCTGTCAGAACTCCACCCTGTCTTTCTCCTCAAAGGACTTTTCCCCATCTGTGATTGTCTTGTTCATCTGTCTACTTAGTTATTGTTTTCCCTTTGCATTTCCCGAGAACAGAGCCCTTGTTAATCTTAGCCAACACTGTATCCTTATCCTCAGTGATTAATACTGATCCTAACACAGAGTGTTTATTTAAAAAATAACTGGTGAATGAACCCGTCACTTGGTTGGTCAGAGAACCAGTTGGTCAGCTGTGGGAGTGGAGGCAGAGAGGCTAGACTGAGCACACCCAGAGAGGCTGTGAAGGTCAGACTGAGACATCTGGTTTTTAGTCTCTGGATGAGAAACATGTGTTTAATCAGGAGGAGGACAGTTTTAGAAAAACAAACATGGCACAGATCTCAGTGAGGGCCACCCAAGGCTGTGAAGAGTTAAGCCAAACCAGGTGGATCCCATGTAGTCTGTCTGCCCTTGTCCACTTGGCATTCATGGAGCTCATCCTTCCCGTCTGTCTAGCAGGACCCAAGCTGACTTTCCAAGAGATCTCACTAAGTCTTTTCGCAGATGCTTGCTGGGCAGGCTGGCCCTGCTGGAGGATGGATGTTGTTAAGGCAAAGTGGACAGAGGCACTATTGGCTCATCCCCCCTGTACACTGGCTGGATTTCCATAAGAACAGAATGCATGTCATAGAGAACAGCTGTCATTTTGACACCTCCACCTTCAACTTCATTAAGCACCAAAGTTCAGTGTGGATTTTCAGAGGATCTGTGGACAAAGCAGCTCACCATCCTGTTTGCAGAGTTGGAAGGGATGTGGAGCTTGCCCATTCTGGCCTCCTCACTGTTCGCATGTGGACAGTGGAGTGAGAGCTGAGTTCAAATTCGAGCTCTGAGTGGAGGTGAGAGCACAGACTTCTCAATTCCTATACACAGCTTAGTGCTGCTCTTCTTCTGTCCACGTGGCTTTATGGCAATGGTCTTGAACTTTACTATACCCCAGTGTCAACAGAACAAGTGATAATAACAGGAAAAATTTTAGGAATCTTTATCAAGAATATCTAAGGTAGAATCTGCAAATTAGCATTTTTCAACAAACTTACCTACCTAGATAATTCAGGTGCAACTGATCCAAGTACAACATTTCAGAAACTTGGGTTTCAAGGGATTCTGTGCTTCGCCTTATTAACTTCTTTTTGCAGATGTGCAGAATGAGGCTCAGGAAGCTAGACAGCCACATAGCAATTTAATTATAGAGTCAGCCCAGAATCTAGGCTTGGTGAGTGAAATTTCCCAAAGTGAGGACATCACTGAGAATAGACTTACAATGAAAAATTATATCCAATTTCAATTTCCTTTTGTTCCTTGTACTAAGTAAAAAAGAGAGAGGGGGAAACTTGGTTTTGTGCAGTTCTTAACACTTTTACAGCAATTACTGATTTCCACACCTTGCCATTTCTTTTCTGCTTTAGATAAAAGGAGAGCAAGAATCAGGCTCAGAACCCTCTGTAGAAAATGGCTTATGACTAGAATATAATGATATTATTTTGTTCTGTTTTTAGTTTCCATCTATGGTAGGTAGTGTTGGTTTTCCTTGTAACAGTTGGTATGTTTTCTATCTAAAATTAATTAAAATGAAATTTTATTTTTTAAAAAAGTAAGTAACTGTGCAGATATGATAAGACCATGAAGATAGGAGAAAGACTGAACTTGGGTACTAGTGATTTACTCAAGCCTCGTGAGAAGATAATTAGCTGGTCAGATTGGGGGGAAATTCAATGTAAAGATTCAAATCTGGGTACTTTTATTCCACGATGTCTGACAGACAATAATTTAAGAACAAAACCAAGAGTAGGCATGGTGAGGAATGATTTCATGGTGATTATCAACCCTAGCTTAAGATATTTTAGTGCGAGGTGGCTAGGCGGACTGTAGGCTTGGCAGAAAAATCATCATCATAAACAATCCAGAGGAAGTTTGATATTGGGGAAGATGATATTAATATCGTATTCATATACTGTAGGGTGTGGCTCCTGATGGCTTAGAGGAATGCAGTGAGGCCTCTAAATCAGTTGGTGGAGGACCTACGTGAGGGAGAGACAGGGCCACGCTGTGTAATTGCAAGCGTCACACGTGAGGAGTTTGGGAGTGGCTGTAGGACTCACAGTATGGTCTGAAAATTGCAGCGGAAGCCACTGCAAATCTTTGGGGCCTTAAGAGACTGCCCAGAGGTATCTCCAGCACCCAGCTGTGTGTGTGTTCTGCGAGCTGACCAAGAGCCACAT